ACTATATAAAATATTATTACTACTGTATTATAATATATTGTGGAATTATGTTAAAGATGTTGGTATCGGGAAGCGTTCCCTTATTGTTCTGTGAGCGTAGAAAGGTACACCATATACTAACACAAACATTTGACTAATACATGTTACATAAAACTGTGTCTATCTATTCTGACTTATGTATAAATTCAATTTATAGACAGACTTACGAATGGAACTCATTTGTAATCTGGAGACTATCTGTATTTTTATAACAATTTATTAAATAAATATTGTTTCATTTTATATTATTTATTTATTAAAGAAGGAAAATTATTTCTTTCAGAATTACCATTAATTAACATAGAACACTGCAACAGAAAACATGATTTTGTAAAAATCAGAATAATATTAATCACAGGTAATAATCATCAGTGCATATTAAAATTAGTTGGCCAATGCAAGAAGAAAACCAGAATATTTGCAAAGGCTTAAAGTATCATCTTGTAAGAATCTTTGTAATAATAAAGAACAAAATACTGAATTTTACATTAGGAAAGAATGGTAGGAAATGTGTTAAATATGAAAATAAAACTCTCTGAAATCAAATACAAGATGAGTGTATTTAATTGTGTGCAATATTACATCAACCAAGACATTAAAAATATAAAACATCATTTGCTCAAGGCTATTCCTTTCAGCCACATTTACAATATCCAAAGACTTGAAGAAAATTAAAATGCTTTTCAACTGAGACAGGAACAAACACTGGTGAGCACAGCACTACAGTGAGAATGAAAATGTCTTCTCTCTCCTAGGTGCGAAGGAGCTCTAATGACCTCTCCTTTGAGTCAGCATTGCTTTCTTACTTAAGGAGCTCTGGTGGCACAGTGCCTAAGGCATTTATTTGACTGCTCACCAGAAGGCTTGCAGATCAAATCCCCCAGCCACTCCAGGGAAGGAAGACTGGGCAAACTACTTCCATCAAGTTTTATCACCCTGGAAACCCAAAGGGGGTCTCTATGAGATGAAAATGACTCGATGACAGTGAATTGTTTTTTTTTTCTTTCTTTGTATTGCTCTAACAGAAAGTACTACAAATGGGTTGTTTGAACAACAGCAGTTTATTCCCTTATAGTCTAGCAGGCTAAAAGTCCACGTTCCAAGTGCTGGTTCAAGGGGCTGGGAGAAAGCCCCTCAACCTTGTGCTTCAACTCTACCTCTTGCCCATAGCCCACTGAAGCTGGAGGCTTCTCTTAACTCAAGCAGATGCTGGCTGCTGATACAGACAAACACAAGGTCGACAAATAAAATGGCACAGTTCCAGAATTATCAGGCAGCACTAGTTCATGTCCAGAAACAGTCCCCAAATTGGCAGACAACATGGCAGGCCAATTAGATGAAGACTTGGCCAAATGCAGGATCCAGATGTGTGGAAACCTCAGAGACCTTTCTTAACACTTCTCCTTAGACACTGGGAGCTGGCCACATCACTAAGGCAGCTATTCAGCTGCTCCAGTAGATACCAGCCTAGAGGTGATTACCAGTCTCATCATGGGGAATCACTACAGCCAGCTGCCAAGCCACTCAAAACTAGGCCCAGCCAAGCTGACATATAACCTCAACTACCACAGTTACCAAGAAACTTAGTTTTCTAATTGCAGAATTTTTAAATTTGCTGTCTGAGGCTATAGCAGTAAGGATGAAACATCCCACTACTGATATAGCTCTCCAATTTGAGTCTGTTACATGAAGTAAGTTATGAGGAACAACTAAAGGCCTTTCCATATTCCCTACATTCATAAGATTTTCCATTGTGCATTCTTCTATGTGTAGTAAGGACTGAGGCTTGGCTAAAGGCCTTCTCACTCGCTTACACTCATAAAGACTCTCCATTGTGCAATCTTCTATGTGTAGTGAGGTGTGTGGCCTGACTAAATGTTTTCCCACAGTCCTTACATTCATAAGGCTTCTCTCCACTGTGAGTCCTTCTATGTTTAGTGAGGGAATAGGCCTGAGAAAAGGCTTTCCCACACTGCATACATTCATAAGGCCTCTCTCCACTGTGAATTCTTCGATGTGTAATGAGGTATGAGTCTTGCTTAAATGCTTTCCCACATTGCTTACATTCATAGGGCCTCTCTCCACTGTGAGTCCTTTTATGTCGAATGAGGTGGGAGGTCTTACTAAATGCTTTACCACATTCCTTACACTCATAAGCTCTGTCTCCACTGTGAGTTCTTGTATGTGCAATGAGGGCTGATGAACAAATAAAGGTTTTACCACATTCTTTACATTCATAAGGCCTTTCACCGTTGTGCGTTCTTATATGTACAGTGAGGGCTGAGGAACAAATAAAGACTTTTCCACATTCTTTACATACATAAGGCCTCTTTCCACTGTGCATTCTTACATGTGCACTTAGGGAAGAGGAACAACTAAAGGCTTTCCCACATTCCTTGCATTCAAAAGGTCTCTTTATACAGTGAGTTTTTAAGTGTTCAGAGAGATAATAGGAATCACTAAAAGTTTTCCCACATTCCTTACATTCGTAAGGCCTCTCTCCACTGTGTGTTCTTACATGCCTACTGAGTTGAGAGGAACACCTAAAAGCTTTCCCACATTCCTTGCATTCATAAGGTTTCTCTCCACTGTGAATTCTTCCATGTGTAATGAGTTGTGAGGAATACCTAAAAGCTTTCCCACATTCCTTGCATTCATAAGGCTTCTCTCCACTGTGAGTTTTTAAGTGTACTGAGAGATAACAGGAATGACTAAAGGCTTTTCCACAGTCCTCACATTTGTAGGGCTTCTCTCCACTGTGCATACTTATATGTTTAGTGAGGTGAGAGGAACGCTTAAAAGCTTTCCCACATTCCTTGCATTCATAAGGCCTCTCACCACTGTGAATTATTCCATGTGAAATGAGGTTTGAGGATCGCCTAAAGGTTTTCCCACATTGCTTACATTCATATGGTCTCTCTCCACTATGAGTCCTTTTATGCATGGTGAGGGAATAGGGATGACTAAAGGCTTTCCCACACTGCATACATTCATAAGGCTTCTCTCCACTGTGAGTCCTTCCATGTTGAGTGAGGGATGAGGCCTGACTAAAGGCTTTCCCACATTCCTTACATTCATAAGGCCTCTCTCCACTGTGAATCCTTGTGTGTTGAGTGAGGCGGTAGGCCTTACTAAAGCCTTTCCCACATTCCTTACATTCATAATGCCTTTTTCCACTGTGAGTTCTTGTATGTATAGAGAGACCTGTGGTCTGTCTAAAGGTTTTCCCATATTTCTTATGTGGATAAAGCATCTCTTCACTGTGAGTTCTTATGTGTGTAGCGAGGGATGAGGAATGCTGAAAGGCTTTCCCACATTCTTTACATTCATGAGGCTGCTCTTCACTGTGTATTCTTAAATGTGCAGTGAGGGCTGAGGGATCCCTAAAGGTTTTCTCACATTCCTTATGTTCACAGGGCCTTTCTCCACTGTGAGTACTCATGTGTTTAGCAAGGTTTGAGGAATACCTAAAGGATTTCCCACATTCCTTACATTTATAAGGCTTATCACTATCATCAAATTTGTTATATAAAATAAGGGAAAAAAGACAACTACAGGTTTTACAACATTGTTTATGGTCACACTTATGATCTCTCAAATGTGTGCTAATGATTGAGAAATTATAGAAACCTTTCCCACATACATTAGACTCATAGTGTTTCTCATTGGTTACTGTTGTCACAGGAGTCTTAATGGTTGATATACAAATGACATCCTTCCCACATACCTTACACGTATGGGGTTTCTTTCCAGAAAGAGTTCTCACAGAAGTGGCTAGAGGAGAGGAATAATTGCAGGTTTCTCCATGTTCCTTACACTGACTGGTACTGTATCCAGAATGAGCTCTTGTATGATGTTCATGTGAGGAGTGATCCATGACGGCTTTTCTACACTCACAACATTCAAAAGGATTTCCTTGTGGAGGATTTGCTTGTAGCACAGCAAGATCTGTTCTCTGGCTAAAGATTTTCCCACACTGATTGCCTTCATTCCCTTCACAAAGATTCTCTACTGCAGGACTTCTGTTAAAAATAGGCAACAATCAATTTCACCATTACTAAACACAGGAATGGGCATTGATTTTGCCAAAACTTTTCCAATATCTTACAGTTTAAAACATCTCATAGAAATACTATCATTACTGTCTCTGCTTTTCTAAAATATGAGACTTTCTGATCATTATGTCCAAAGGGAATAGGTTTCCAAAACTTGCTATCTGACTTTCATTCATGAAAATGTTGCATTGTGTAAGTTCTCTAAAGACAAAATTTTATAGCAAAGTTTATGTATATAAGCAGACAGATATGTATGTATATATCAGGTCTTCAACTTGGTTCACAATGGCTCAAAAACAGCCTATTTAAATGAGTGACTCCTACATATTACATATCTATCAAAGCAGATGATGGTTGGATTTTGACCCAAGTATGTAACAAACAGCATTGCCCTGGCTCAAAGATGGCAGCTCACCCCACCATGTTGAATATGTAACTCTCCAGACTTCTAGCAATAATCTAATCTCCCACATGTATCCCTAAGGTCTCAGGGGCCAGATGCAGCATATTGGATGACTGGGAGGATGATGGAGAGCAGTAGACATTCAAAGTGGTGCAGCTGGGCGCCATCTTTGACAAGGGCAACATTGACTGTTTCCTATTGGGTCAAAATATAACAGGTAACAGATCTGTTTGCTATGTGAAGCATACACTGCCCTCACACACAATGGCAATGACCAAACCATTAGAAACTAGCCCAAAGCTCTGTTACATAAACATGTATGTGTTTATTTTAAGGTCAAGACATCACAGAACTTTCTCTTACAGCACTGTTTTCTCTCGTTTAAGTAGTACTCACCTCAAATGCCTTCCTTCATTTCTATGTGGATCTTTACTGCTATATGATTCAAAGAAGTCCTTCAACATGGAGGCCCAAGTGTCATTCTTCATGAATTGCACCATTATATGTTCAATGGATAATTTTTCTCCATCATAAAGGCTTTGAGAGACTGACACAATAATTCGAGTTGAAATTCACAATATGAAACAAAATAGAGAAGAACTATTAGGGGACAAAAACCTAGTGTTAACAAAGACAGACTTAGCCACAGTTCACTGGTTGAGCACTTTGGCAATGGTTACAATGTATACTTTATCAGGAAATACTTCCATTGAGAATTGAGACTCATGGTGACATACATGGGTATCATTAAGAGCTAAGTAGAAAGATACTGGACACAATACACATGTA